AATATTGAACCTAAAAACCCCTTGGTCCGCGCTTCACAGTCAGATAATGCATAGAGCAATGGAGCCAGGATAGTCGAGTACACAGTGACAATTTCAGGCGGAGTACCAGCCAACAATTCCCTGGTGTCTCTTCGCGTGACGTTTTATTGAATCATTTCATTTGTGGGTCATCTGTTCAATAATTTGCCGAGGTGGAAAGGGCATGTCATATCCTGCTGCACGTTCTCCAGCATCAGGGGCGCTGTGAATGTCTGATGGAGAACCCTGGCCAAATGGCATGCTTGACGAGTGCGACTTTCCGAATTTTTCTCTTTTTTTTGCACATCAACTGCAGGTTTAAGTTCAAAATACTCGTTTAGTAGGTACAGGCTTGTTTTATTTTTCAGGTAAAATGTACCATAATGGAGAAAGCCCTTCATTTTGTTCAAACATAGACAAATAAAATATAGGCTTAAGGATAATTTTCTAGATGTATTCACTGATAAATAAGCTTGGACAGTAACATAATGCCTTGTTAAAAATGTGACCAAATTTTTGTTACTGTGGCATTTAGGTAGATATCTGTTCATGATGTTGAAGAAATTGGCGCCTTTCTTGGTCTTCAGTTTGGATGTGTTGAATATGTATACAAAAAATAAGATTTTGTCACCGAATTTACATCATGGCTTCTTGGTTTTGCAACCTTAATTTGACACAGATACCCATAGGCTTGTAAAAAGTGACCGCTGGACTGGATAGTTAAGTTGATAGATTCAAATATTGCTTCGGTCAATTTCCTTTGTTCAACTTAACAAATATGTAATTCCGAGAAGAAACTTGCAAATCATTTCTTCTGGCAGTATCATGCCGTGTTTTTTTTCCTGCTCGGTACTTTTATTAACGTAAGATCGAACACAGAAAAAAAAGTCCATGTCGTTAAATCAGAAAGTTAGAAGATAATGTCTGTAACAGCCCCGTTATTCCAACACAACCGATGACGGGTCGGGCTTCACGTAGCTGTAAGTTTATATCTATTGTGTATGGTAAAGCTGTTGAGGTAAGTCACGGTTAAGCCCGAGTCAAGCTGCATTTGTTTCCTGCTAGTCCTCTGGAGGAAAGATCCGTGGAGCAGTCAGACAGAATGACAAACAGGTAAAACCTCCCGCATCATACCAAAGTGGTGAGTGATGGCGGAGCTTTGAGTTTGATGTGCTTGCTAGGACCGTGAGCTGTCCTGGGCCCAATTTCACGGCACAAAAATTTGCTTAGCACAAAAAAAGTCTGGCTTATAACAGCAGGTTACCAGCCAAAACTCCATGTGATGTATATTGCTCTGAATTAGTTTTCAACTGTTGTTTGCTTAGCATGAAAATTACATGGAGTTTTGGCTGGTAACCTGCTTTTATAAGCCAGACTTTTTTTGTGCTGAGCAGCACTGTGAAATTAGGACCTGGGCAGGAATTTCGTGGAGCTGCTAAGCAGAGAAATTATAGACCGTATGCGTAGCGGCCATCTTAGAGGGCATCTTTTGTTACTGAGATTCAATAACAGTGAGTGCACAGAAGGTTCACTCATGTACATTGTATATCCCAGCAAAACAAAGGTATTGCACTCCAAGATGGCTGCTATGCATAAGGTCTATTGATTTGCATATTTAGGCCTACATGCTTAGCACTATCCTGTGAGAGCTTGTCACAATGTGAAACGTACAGTGTGCCATTTGTGGTTTTTGTGGGGTTTGCAAAGCATATCTGGGGCTTAACTTTCTGTGCGTAGTAGCTCCAGGGCCCTGGTCTAGGCATTACTTGTTCTCAGAACTGAATGTGCTCTAGTAAAAGATAAATCATATGAAAAGTTGGGAAGGGGCTCGGTTAGGCAGTTGAACCTCTAAGCAATTATGCAAACCAGACACCAGATATCAACCTCCTTTCTGACAAAACAGTCAGATTGTATGCTTGAGAATCAGTATCAACTCCCCACTATAAAAAATATACCCTAAACTTGACACTCATGATATGATGCCAATCCATATATTCACCTTGTAATAAACAAAGTTGAGCAAGAAACCTGTTCTACAGTGCCTCATCTCAACTGCCCCTGCAAATGTTATACCCACTACAGAAGCAAAAGTATATGGTTTTAGCAAAATGTGATTTTAGACATCTCAAGTCAAAGTTCAGACGTGGAATAAAACAACTACTCATCGCCTTAATTTCCAACTCAAAAATTTCATAAGCCCTTCCCATTGTTCCTGCAAACCCCTCTCCTGCCCCCCCCCCCCCCCCCCCCCCCCCAAGAAAACAAAATTGGTCGTGCAGCATGTTTCTACAGAGATTCATTGAATTGTACATGTACAATACTATACAATATTTTTTTTAGGAAAGTCATGCTGCAAATCAGTGTGGCTCTTGAGACATCACAGCCATCTCATGGGATGATGACTGTGACAACACTGGCACCAGGCACAAAGTTCGGCAGTCAGTCCTTGACCCCCAAAGCAGTAAAACACCCTGCTCATTATCCCCAGCCAAGAAGCCAGTAGTTATGGCCAGGTTGTTTTATTGAAACTGTTAGTGGTCACTTGTGGTTTTATTATGCTGGGCAACAGTGCTGGCCTTTGAACCCTTTGCCTCTACAAACCAATCCCTAATTGCAAATACATGTCGTAGAAAAATATACTGATTTAAGTATGGGGTCTTTCACCCTCTGCCCTCCCTTCATCCTCAACTTTAATACTTAGTTGAACATGGCAGTCTTGGTCGGAGAACTGAGTTTATTCCCCTGCCGCCGGTCCCTGGTATTTGGTAGTGTCCATCAAGTAGAGGGTGCTATATGAACAAGATAAATCCAATCCCTGGAACTTGTTGATGGTTGTAGAGTTTTTTATGTTCAGACCAGTAAATATAAATTCACCATACTCCAAAGGCCCCTGTGGTAATTCCCCCCACTTCAAAAACATTCAGGAAAAATACTCACCGTCCAAGGTATTTTGAGACACACGTCAAGTTAAAGCTTATTTCGTCATCTTTCATTTTCTGTACAACTTTGTGGGGGTTAACCAAAGATTTTGGGGAGAAAAATCCATCCAAAGATGATCACCCCTTAAAGTAATCCTGATCCCCATCGCCATTTTGAAAAATCATGCCTACGTATGCTTCATTGCAAAATAGAGCAATTTTAGGGCCAAATTTCATCCGAATTTCACAGAAATACAAGCTTGCTGTTCTGTTCCTGGCTTCCACCCTTCTGGCCCACAAAATGTGCTGACAGCAAAAAATGTTAGGGCATGCAAAGCATGATTTCAGTTGGCCGGCGTTGGCAGTTTCGGGCCTATTTACTGGCCTGCACACTACCACTGCAATCTATGATCTAGTGATCTTCATGTACCGGAGCAGCAGCTTGACTGCGCTTGCTAGGCGGACTAGCTGCATTATACTTTTATAGGGCAGGGCATATTATAGGGGAAAAAACTTCAATTCCACTTTTGCACCAAGATTTTAAAAATGGTATGAAAAAAAACATTGTTGGTAATATTATGAAAGATCATCCCTAAAATTCTGGCAGAGAACAAACTGTCCCTTCTGCCTGTTATAACTTTTCATATGAGTAACAACAAATTACTTATCATGTTATGAAACAAACATCGAATGAAGAAGCTGGATAATATTTGGATTTAATTAATGTTTGGTGGAGTCGTTAGGTCTAATAACAAAAAACTTGGCAATTGTTGTCTTTATTTATCATCACTCTGTCTTTGTCAACCCTCAAACTATGCACTGTCTAATTGCAAAGTGCATTCCTCACACCACAACGCGGACCAGACATCTCTATTGTCCGCCAACACCCTTATCTTTTTTTAATTTCCTCTGGCCAGTAAGCGCCAGCCCTTATGCCAACACTTGTTGGTAAACACGGAGGGTATTATCATGGCACACTAGCCCCTGGTGTAGTGTCAACACGTGTATAATCCTTCCTGGCCTGTGCACACATATTACTCATTTGCCAGCTTGCTTAGTCCCCCATGAGTCGGTGTTGATGACTGTTGGGTTGGCCAGTTGTTACATCACCTCTGTTGACCCACATGGCATACTGGAACCATTGGGTAATTAAAACAGGGACCAACGCCACAGTTGATGATGATGCGAAAAGTTTCTGAGAAAAACTTGCATTGTTTTGTTTTTGTGTGCATGTACCGGTACTCTTGTAGTGGCAAAGTAAAGTTCCTGTTTATCTTGACCAATGACAAAATGTAATTGTTGAGGGTAACTTCTTAATCATCCACAGTATGTATAATTGGCCTTATTTATCAGCCTTATTTGTTGAAAAGTAACAATTCAGATAATTTGAAATCTTTTCTTCCAATAAATTTGAAGCTGTAAAAAGATTTTTGGCAATCAGAGCAAAGATTTCCAATCAAACATGACAGTTTCTTGTAGAACTTTAAATGTCAGACGATTAGCTTTTTTCCCAGGTTTTTTTTTTCATAAACATTTGATTGATTTGTTTCTGTATCTGGATGGCTGCTGTTAATGATTAAGACCTGTCACAGGTGATATTGTGACTAATATTTATTAAATATATGGTCTGAAATTGTAACGTTTCTCATGAGAGAATAAGGGTTTTTTTTCTTCAAGATTTTCTCAGGCTGAAACAAATGCCTCCAAAGAGTTCAACATTCTATTTTGTGCTACAATGTTTTCTGTCATGTTGCACACAACAAAACAGCAGTTACATGTACTAAGGCAACTTAAAAATCAGGAGGAAAAAATCAGAACAGCACCAACTGTGAAACATCAACTTCTCTTTGGACCCCTTACAACAACAAGCCATAAAACAGGAAGTTGGTCTACAAGTGGGATTAAGCAGTAAATAATAATGCATTGCCACAAGTCCCGCCCACTGGAACTCTGCTCATTAGCATATTAGCAAACTGAGCAGTGATAGGCTGAATTGGGGATCAGAGACTTTGATTGGCAGGTTGACTCAGGCACTGGACTGTGTGAAGAGTGCATGAGAAATGTGTGTGGCCAGTGAGTTCTTTGACAGGCCTGAGACAGTGAAGGCATACTGTGAGCTTTATCACCTGTTTTATGGTTTGATTGAGATCGTGTTATTAGTGCATACTTTTGCGGCACATATATCCACACTGTGTGAAATTGCTCCACGATTTGGCTGTACTTTGGTCACCAGATACATGCATCAGCCAGTAGTACAACACAACATGCCAGGATTTATACAGTTGCTGAAAACTCTGTGAATTATCTTTGAATGTGCTAGTTTATGGAGCTCCACTTTTTCATTCCACCGGCCAGCCAGGAACGAATTCTTGATCTTCAGCCGAATATTTCATCGTCATAAGCTGTCTTTGTCGTTTGGTATGATTTGCTGTTTGTTGTTTTAACCATCAGTGAGGTTCCAACTCAGCTGAACTGCGGCTTTTAATATATCATCTGATCACGGAGGTCATTTCTTTAAGTGGTGTTAATTTTAGAAAAGTTAAGAAAAAAAATATCTCTGCCATGTTGGAAAGTCATCCTAGTTTGGTGATATGATATAGGGTTGTTTTTACAGATGGCGCAATGCATGGACATATGGCCAGTGCATGGAATTTATTTTTGTCGAAGGACTTATTTAAATTCAATTTTTCCAGCCATCTAATGATAACACCGCACATAGATCACTACTGGGAGATAGTGAAATTCCTATGACGAGTTTGTGAAAATAAACTTGTCAAGCTTTCTGTCTGCTTTTGTTGGTACGGTGTTTCATGAGGTCTGTATTCTAACGAAATACATGTTCTTCCATCGTACATACTTTTTGCATTGTCCTGACTATTTGAAGTAAAGCACTTGTAATGTTCAGTTCGGTTGATGCTTAGATCCTCCATGGTTGATGTGAAAGAATTTCCAGTTTTAAATGGTTATCTCAAGTTGAAAATATTAACTTAGCAGATCTTGTGCAGTTGTCGACCCATTGTAACTGAGGTGCTGGAATTCCTTATTTTTTTCCTCAAGTTTTGACTTTGGTCGGTCGCTAGTACAACCAACCTGGACCGACCAAAGACAACATTCGGGGGGCGGGGGAAAGGAGTCCTAGCCCCCCAGTTAATACTGGGTCTAGCACTGTTTGTATCTTTTGCTGCTCATTTTAATGCACTTAAGTTACTTTACTTTATTTGAAGTAAATGAAACTATGGAATTTTGTTCTTCTTTTCAGGTCTGATTTTACAAGTGAACTGATATGACATGATAAGTGAACATCCTTCTTATCAAGGTGAGTTTCAGTGAAACAACTTGTCTTTGGACAAATGTGTACATGATGTAGGAACAAAAGCAGACCTCTTTCGAGGAATATTTTTCAGCAGTGTGTGAGTGAACACTAAAAATAACTGCAGGAATCAAGTTCAGATAGAAAAACTGGAGCAGAGTGCAATTAGTCTACATGTACCTCTAGTAGTGCCAACTCCACTTTAAGATCAGGAGAATACTTGGACATGCACAAATTGATTCTGAATAGCATACCAAGAGTCTGACTATGTGAGACTGTGTCCGTAGCCCACGTCTTTGTCTCGTGTTTGCCCAGGTGTCTCATAGGTAGGTCCTTGTGCCATAGTGTGCCAACACTGATCCTGAACTTTCCCTTAGGCAGGAAGATCCCCGCTGCTTTATTGTATAAACTTTCCCCAATGCATCCTGGGTGCCGTTTACTCGGTACAGTTCCGCGCTCTTATAAAGTTTCGCTGCCTTTTTTTTTTTCAAAACAGAGACCCGTTTGGCCGAGTATATAACAGGGTTGTCTTGCCTGCGGCAGACATGTGCTTACTGCAGAGGTCAGGGTTTTGGGCATGGTTTACTTTTTTTCCAAGTGGCTTTTTGGGGGTATTTCTAGCGGATGTATACACAACGAACAAGGAACAGTGGTTTTTCTGTAGTGAACACAACATTGTATGAAAATAGCCCAGAGAAAGAAAAGAAATCAGGTAAAGTTTATGGAGTTGAGGGCACACTTCTCAAGAGATTGATTTGCGACAGTTTGGTGTTGTCACTAGGCCTATTCAGATGAGGACTTTTGTTTAATGGGTGGTCCACACTGTGCTGTACATCTAAAGGGAATTGCACCCAAAAAGTGGTGCGGGTATTTTGGCAGGGTTTGAAACATAAAGTGTGAAACAGATTTACTTCGTCACAAAGTCTAAGTTGTAGATGTGAGGTCTTAGGTTGAGTCTGGATTAAAAAATGTTTGATTTTTCATAAAGATTGGAAAGCTTAATTTGACGCGCCACAGTTGTCTGATGTTGTGGTTCTGAGCACAATATCAAACATACTTTGAACAGTAAAAATTCTCTGCCACAAAAGTCAAATTTTAACGTTTGGTTTGTTGTACATGTATGTATGTATGTACCGGTATAATCCCTATACATTCCAATTGATGGTAAATAGAATCAATTTCAAATATAAAATAGGGCTGTGCATTTTCGAATAATTGCTTATTCAAAACTGTACTGGACCGAATATTGGAATATTTTTAACTTGCCTATCAAGTTTTACACACACCAGCTGGCAGCTGCAGCTGCCTTCCATGCTGGTAAAAAGTTGCATGCAAAGCGCTGGTTAGAAATTGCATCGGTAATGGATATTATGGAACGCTGGCAATTGCAGTATGTTGTGCAGGGACTTTACCCAGCTAAAAGAATAAATACATGTAGGTGTCGACAAGAAAGTTACCGTTGACCAAAAAAAAAATTTAAGTATAAAAACGCAATTTTACAATGAAAATGACTCCACAGTCAAGTGCGCACGTGCATAATTTTTTCTTTTCGAATATTCAAACCTGCAAAAAGCTATTCGAATATCTTCTGGACAGCCTTAATATAAAACGATTGCCAATACCATAAAGGCAGTTGTATCAATCTCGTAGTGCGAACAACAGAAATGCAGCAAAATGAGGGAAATCCAGAAAAAAAAACAATCAAATTCCACGAAACGGCTCCAATTTTTTTTGGTTTATATGTAGTCCAACCAATACCTATGGCCTCATATTACTCCATCAGTCACACCATGCTGAATCGGTGTAAAGGTCTGATGTAAACTGTGAATGCAAAGCTGTCAGATGTTTTGAATGGTTCATCCTTTTCCCTTTTAAGAATTTTTCAGCAAAGACACACATACGCTATATACACACACCAAAAAGAAACCAAAAATCCCGCAGCTCGCGTCAGTCGTCATGCGACAATCAGGTCGGTGCGTTTTGTAATCATTTTTCGGATGGAGCGCTCCATTGCCGTAGCAATTGCTCATGGATGTGGTTTCGTTACGCAGCGAGGTGATGATGAATTGTCCTTTCTTTTGTATACACTCGGCGAAAATGCTGGTCTTTTTTGCCTGTCCCAAATTTTGTGATGATTCTTTGGTATGAGTCATCACACTATTTTCTTTAAGGATTTTCAGTAGTTACTTTTTATTAAAGGGATTCACAAGTTCAAATGTACTCATTCTTATTATCTGAAATACAATGCATTAATTAGCAAAATACCAGAATGTTTATTATTACAAATGGACATCCGCAGCCTTGCATGCATACAGTAACTGCATGCCATATGGGCAGCATTGCATTTTAATCAGAAACTATATCCCTTCACACCTCAGAGTTAATTTCCAACAGTTGTCCAGTGATAGACAATTATCTAAAGTAGCTCTAGGCCTACATTTATACCCTTTTCACTGTGCCCATTCTCAATGGCTCTGCAAGTCACATACGTTATTTCTGTGAAATAGATTCAAGAGACTAAAGAGCAGGATTTCTGAACTCATGGTCACCATTCTGTGCTTATTTTTAGAGTAGTTTTACATCAATTTTCAATCTTTGTAAGCAGTATATAATTGTTTAAAAATTACATTTATTTGACGTGTAATTCACTTTTACACAATGTAGTGTTTTTAATAGTGAAATGTCCAACCATCTGTAAAATTGCCTTTTTAAGGATACATGTAAATAAAGTATTTTGAAAAGAATTGAATTGAATAGCAATTCTGTAACTTAGCACAGAAAATATTGTTACAGAACATTAACGCACGATCCAATATTGCTTGCTAGCCTATTGGTATGTTCTGTTGAGTACGGAATATTCTGTTATTGTCAGCAGAGATTTAAATTCTTAAAGGAAGAAGCACAGTGAAATTTGTCCTTGTAAATATGTTTAATTAACGCCTACAAGCAGACAGAGGTCTATGACCTAGGACCATAAATGCGGAGAAGCTAGCCATCCAGCCTGCCTGAGATCACACACAATGCCGAGTCTTTTGCTCCCACAGCCCGGTATGAATTTCCCAATCAACACCATGGCTTTGCCCCAACAGGTGCTAAGGACATTTGCTTGCATTTGACCCATGGTTCAGTTCAGAGTGGTTGAGTTTGTGGTGCTGGGTTTTCTGTTCCCAATACAGCATGTTTCTCCGAATCTCAGTGCTGTTAATGGTAAAGGGATCAACCTTTGTTGGCTGCCATTTTCATATATTTTTTTTCTATGGTAATCATTGCATACATAATTGTTCGTCATATGGTTACTTTAATGAACCTTTTCACGCGCTACAACTTTTCCTTCAGGAATCATGATGAATGTAATACACAACACATTGTTAACTTTTATCAATATCAGGATCATGATCTACAGTTGAAGACATGCACATGTACATGTGCAGCCACACGCCAAAATGTATTATGTGCACAGTTGCTAAAAGAAATGGTAAATGGAACATAAATGTAGTTTACTTGGATGCTCGGATACAGTACCCTTGTTGTGCAACTCAAATGTTCCCATTATTGGCTCATAATTTGTTCCGTGCTTATGACCATGAAAACACACTCAACTTAATGTCCACTATCCACCTGTTTCCTAAAAGAAACCAACAAAAAGGCAATCACCAAAAATATTAGGGTCACAAACAGAGGCACATACCAATTGGCTCACACTCACTGCCCAGGACGGCTAAAACCCAGTGACTCATCATAAATTACCAGGAAAGCCGGCCATACCAGTGGCTCCCTAAACCAAACTTAATCGCAGCGTCGACAGATTTACATACATTCCTCCTCCAAAAATTCACCTCTGGAAATATAAAAAAGACACAGAGAATCAACCAAAAAAACTGTTTGCTTGTTATTCATAATAATATTTGTATCTCGGATACTGTTTTTCTGTACTTTGACCAGATGACGTGGCCAAATCGGCTGTGCGCTCGGGGGTTCTGCGGTTTGTATGAGATATGTTTCGGAGTGCTGAGCAAATATATGATGTAGCGCGATAACGATAAATCATAAGGGAAAACGGGGCCATTGAACCTAATTTTCCAGAATTAAACACATTTTTCTCACTTTTGATAGGCCTATTTGTCATGATTAAGGTAACAAGTTCGCTCTCAAAATCTAAGAATTGAACTTGTTTGGCATTGTGAATAAGTGGTCAGTCAACCACTGTTTGAAGATAATTGGAAGACCGTTTCAATGTATTCCAAATAGTAATGGCCCTTGAAAAGAATTGAAATAAACACGTAATTAACTTTGTAATTCCACATTAATTTACATCCACTATAAAGTAAGCACATAGTCTTGTTAATGGCTTGACGTGGATGTGAGTTTTTAGACAGTTTCTCCTTACTAGTATAAGGTTTCTTTGTTCTGTGTACGATGATAACGTCCTTTGATGCAATGATGTTTTGATGGATTTGTTTGATGTTGCACTTATTGTGAGCTTTAACAAATATGAAACTGAACTGTTTCTGAGCTAGACAAAAAAAATGAATGTTACGTTGTAATTTTTGTGAAGGAATCTGAAGTTACAGTTTCCATATGCCATTGTGTTTGGTGAAATAGAACATTTAGTCAACAAAAGAACAAGCGTAACTTGATACCGTTGCTGGTAATATTCTGATTCATACTAAATGACAGTTGCCAAATTAAATTTGGCACTGAAGACCAGCAGCAGGGTGCCAGTGAAGCTGACAGGCCAGTATCTGTCTGGTGGTATAGAGCATCCCTGCTGTGATTAGTTGATCAGGGTTACCAATGTAACAAATTCCTCCCTGTACATTTGATGTGTAGGTGTACTGCCCCAGTGATTGGCAGGCCAACTTGTGTGGGGGCGTGTGGGCAGCAGTACCCATGGTCTGTCTTGTGATATCAGTTCCAAGTATGGTTTCTTTTCTTGGCACATTTATCTCACAGGCATGTTACTCCGGAGGAAATCAGCCAATTTCATTAATTTCCTTCTGCAAATACCACATTTCCCTCTTCAAATATCATGGATATAACTGGTTTATGAGTGTTAAGAATTTGCCAATTTCAGTTGACCAAATATTGCTGATACGGTTTATCTAGCTACAGGAAGCATGTACATGTATACCCTTCCACATGTGTATAAATTTAAACATCTTGTTTGAAATGTAACATTTTAATCTTTTCTCAGGGATCGCATGAGGAAAACATACAAGTCCGTGATGTAAAATATACAATGGTGAAAAGTTGAATCAGTTTCTTATTTAGACAAATCCAAGATGCAATTGAGTTGGATCACGAAATGGTCCGAAAAAAAATCTTGTTTGAAATGTTACATTTTTATCTTTTCTCAGGATCACATGAGGAGAACATACAAGTCCGTGATGTAAAATATACATGGTGAAAAGTTGAATCAGTTTCTTATTAGACAAATCCAAGATGCAATTGAGATGGATCACGAAATGGTCCGAAAAAAAAAATCTTGTTTGAAATGTTACATTTTTATCTTTTCTCAGGGATCACATGAGGAGAACATACAAGTCCGTGATGTAAAATATACATGGTGAAAAGTTGAATCAGTTTCTTATTAGACAAATCCAAGATGTATTTGAGTTGGATCACGAAATGGTCCGTGGTTGGATCCATCAGTAGACTGCTACTCAAATTTACTTGTCCAGAGGTCACTTGTCTTTGTTCCTCATTTGCATAACTGCCAGTCACTATGGCTGGCTGGACAATGACAGTCAATGACCTCGGAGGTCACTGTAACCCAATCAGGTGGCTCCTCTGAGCCAATCAAGTCATGAATAACCGGGAGTTAATGAGGCATGAGGACCCAGTGACTGGTCCCCTATGCTGCCCTGGTTCCCCTGTTCTAATACACATCCCAGTTGATGCTGTGGATGACAGGGACATTTATTGTGACCATGCCGGTAGAAAGCAATAATTCCAGAATTTCCAGGGGAAGGAAACTACCTTGGTTTTTTTGTTTGATGAAAATGTAATTGTTGCCATATCAGGTGGACATTCTTGTGGGTAATGTGAAAATTGTGTGTCAGGGTGGTGTGTAGTCTGGTTTTGCACATGGGAATGGAACAACTGCTGGTGGTTTAAAGGTCTCACGGTCCTTTGATCTTAATATGTGCATGTAAGGATTATGATTTCAAGGTTAACTTAAACTTTAAAGCATGTTTAAAGTTTTCATTCCTATTTTTGGCATTTCACCACTTTGTCAATAAAGAGGAGGCATCTTTTATCCTCTGAATTTCAGGACGGAACAGATTTTGTGGACACTGACGGCATCATTACATTACAAATTTGCCATCAGCTTGTTGCAGGGTTAATTTTTTGTAAATGATGAAACAGGTGATCGTAAATGTTACTTAAACAAGAAATGTTTGTTGTACCAGTTCCAACAACTTGATAGCTATAAATTAACAGTTTTTATATATCGTTTCCCTTTCGGCAGCCAACCGCAGTGACCGAAATCCTGTTACCGCTTCCCGCCTCTCCCAGTGACATGCCCTGCAAAGAATGTCCGTTTTTTGCGCAAATCTTTCGCCGCTCGGGCCTGAACCCCCTACCCCCCAACCCCCTAAAAATCAATTCCCCTGATTTATCTGTTGGAGGACAGAAAATGTCCCCCAAATGCACCCCTGGCATTTTATTTGCCTGTTGTTGTGGGTAAACGAAGGAAGGTGGTTGGCCGAAATGGGTCTTGTGATTTCAGTGTTTTTCTTTGTCTTTTCTGGAAAATAGCCTCCAATCCCATGAGTCATTGTAATATTTCTGTCGTCACCCACTGGGTGCTGGTTGTGGAGTGACCTTCAGGTTATGAGAGGGGGAACTATTGGAGTTGCCAGAATTAGCCACCCCTCGCTATAGCAGTGGACCATTCTGTGTGAGTGTAATGGATCTCTCAACTCTAAAATATGGGTGTGATTCATCCACGGAGGGATATTCCAATTCACAGTGTACCAAGATCTTGAAGAAATGCATCTTGCCCATCATCAAATTGCTCAAAAAAAGTTCTTGCAACCCCCTGCGGTAAATAGTCGATTCCAAAATGAACAGTTTTGTGGATGATCCCATTGCGACCAGGGGGAGGAGAAGCCTGAAACTGGCTCTGATAACTTGTGATACGACTGATAATGATGTGGTATCCAAGGCTTGCTTGATTTTCAATTGTGTAAGGCTAGTCACCATGCATTTGTCCTATCAGGGTAATAAGTTCGCAATCAAAATAGCGAGGCAGTGTAGTTTTACTGTACAGGAGCTGTAAGTGCTTGTGAATCCTTTCCAGCCTCCCCAGTGTGGTATTACGCTGACAAAAATAATGATTATGCGAAGGCCACGTCTTGGGCTGATTGTTTGAACATCTTAAGACTGGAAACACCATCCTGATTGTTCCTTATGATTGCAATAACACAAAGTGCAACTTCATCAGCATTTGCATTTTGCTGATGGCTTCTTGATGGTTTTCTGCTGTTCAAGCACTCCAGACTGTTCTCCCGTCATCCACAGTACCATTCTTGAATACGGTATAGATTGCAATTGTTCAGATGATGGCTTCCACTTTTCGCCATGTACCATCCATACCAGAATTTTGAAGAACGTCTGTAGATCAAGAGTGCACACGGAATATGTTGGAGGACTGTTGTTGGAGTAATGCTGTAGTGCAGTAAAATCTTCAGTTTGAGAGTTTTATGTGAATCAACACTTGAATAGCACAGAACTTCCTGGTAAGTTTTGGAGTAACCTTTTTGAACATTTTCCCAGCTTTTAGGGTTTAAAACATAGATCACTTTTTTTCAGACTAAATAAGAGTTTGACTATTTGCTTGATTCACGATGTCAAATTCTCAAAATTTGCCGCTCTACTATGCTGAAACAAAATGGGGGGAAAAAAACGGAGTACTGTATTATTTTTGTATAAAAGTAGTTATATTATTAATACTACATGTATACAGCAACAAAATACATGTACTACGGTTGCAATTTTGAATTCTTGAACTAAGAGAACATTGCACACAGTTCAAATGTTGTTATGTGGGGCACTTGGAACCCAAATCGAATTAGAGTGAAAATGACCAAAATAACGTTAAACAAAAAGTCATTCCTTCCTAGTGTGGATGCTCCACATGTTACCCGTTACAACAGGGGGTGTATTTTTGTGCATTTTCCCGCATTTTTGAAAAGATAATTGATACAAGTATTACTATATTTGTATTAGTTTCCTTAATTAATTGCCTTGGAATTCATCACAGCATAACAAATGGGAATCTGCCAAGATTCTCCGTCTTCCACAAATAAATAAGTGCCACCAGTGAACCCATAATTCTCTCTGCACCTTATAAGAGCAGGCGATTAATTATTGCTCTAAGGATGAGAAATCGGCCTGCATTCCTCCATGGGTCAGCCCTAATTAGGTGCCAACGAAATTTCCCCCTGAAAATGGACCGGTTCCCCAATTTGGCGTAGTCATTAATGAGCAAAATGTTGCCGAGGACGGGATACCGGTCATTTATTGGTGGTGAAGCGTGGGCGTGACAAATCATGTTACCGATTACTGTCTTTCAGCCCGGTGGTCAGTTTGGGTCATGGAGATGTGATGAATGCGTCCGATGAAGTTTTGATTTTATGGGGTTCGTAGAACATTGGTCTCGTTTAATGTGTCCAAGTGCATGTGTACTCTTCAATGCTTATCTACCATTAACATGTGATTATTATTGACCACTGTTCACTGTGACTGTGAGGACACAAAATATACTTAAAAAGAGGACATTACGTGCAGGTCCTCACTTATAAACCAAAGAAGCCATGATTGAGGAAGGACAGTGTGAAGCTTTAGGATGCAGAAAATAATGGTCTCATCTGTGTGCATTTACAAATGTAAGTAAGTAAATATCTACACTATTTCTACAGTACCAACTATTTGATGCACATGTTTTACTGTCGAAGTTGCATACCAGTTGAACGTCTTTGTAATCAACACTTGCATAGATCTCATTTCAGTAGTCGGTGATGTTTACAGCGCAGGCCTTGAACCAGCTAATTAGGACTTCCTAAATGGAGCGCTTCCTGATAAAATCTTATTCAATATCTCATCAGTATCCAGGTGTCTCTTTTAATAAAACTGAAAGTGTAAGGGACCAATCTTCTAAAGAACTACACAACATACCATGGAATCTAAAGATGTAAGATAGCTCTTGAGCCATGGTTTACACTTCGTACATATTCTCAACCTCAATACCTACATGTAGTATCTAATTGAATAATTATGTGATTGAACTTGTACTTTACTATAGAAGCAGAGCTGCAAAGTGCTGCACCCACTTTTGCATTTCGGACTCTTTTTTGGCTGCTGTGCCTGTCAAGTCCATCAACTAAGTTGACCAGAAGGTGTTTTTTTTGTGAACCTGCAAACCTAAAATATCAAACATTTTTCTACACTCTGTATATTTTAAAGCAAATAAAATATGGAGCTTCTTGTCATTTGTATTTACTTACAGCATGAATTGTGATGTGAAAATCTGAAAAGTTGTACTTTTTGGGCAGTTTCTTTGTCCTCATATTGTTAAAAAAACAACTTCCGCTTATTCCTTTGGCTATTAATTTTCAAAACTGTACTTTTTTTCAGCTGGAGAAGCTGTTTTCTAATTTTGGTCATGCCCATGATACTAGTAATTATTCTCATGTAATCACTTCTCCCGATGTCGACAATCATGGGCATTTTTGTTCACCTGAATTATTGAGCTACTTCCCCCCAAAAGACAAAAGTCTTTCTTGTTCATGCTTTATTAATTTTCCGCTTGCTGTGTATAAACATGCAGTGTGTAGGACTTTATATTTTATGGCATTTAGGAGTATGTTAGAACAATTATTGCGACTAAAAAAAGTGCAGTCTTAGGGGTAAGATTTGCTCGGGTGATATTGATCTTATGATTGATGCCACAGCTGTTTCATCATAAAAATTGTGTGTGATAACGTGTGAAGTATCTGTTGCCGAAAAGGATAATGAATCGCTTCAAATTTCAGTTCACTGTGTAATTTAAATACAAGTTATAATTATGGTGAAGGACTTTTTCCAGTCCATCATTTATACGTGTACAAATGTGTGTACATGTACACGTTGCTTAGTCGGCTAAAAAGTTGACTTTCTTAAAGTTTCACTTGGAATTCATTTAAATGGCCCATGTAATGTTTTTTTTTTTTAAAATGAAGTCCGTGTAAAGGCACCTTTCTGTCCCATTTAACCTTATTTTCAATTTTAATTTTGCCATTTTTAACGACATTTTGGTGCCTTTTTAGTTTTTATGCTAATGCAAATTTGCGTATACATACATGTACATTCATGAGCAAAGTGTGATGTCATTTCAGGCACAAAACTAAATGTTAAAGCTATTTCAGCACAAACAATTGCCAGAATTTTGGATATTTTGCTGTTGTAAATTTTCTCTTCTTTGTTGATTCGTTGTTGTTTCAGTACATGACAGTACGGTCAGTGAGCAATGTTTTCTCAAAAAATGTTTTCAGTGAGCAAATTTTGCGTTCCCAATTTGAACAGAAAACCCCCAAACTGAACAGTGTCTTCCTGAAGTGACATCAGACCAACAACGCCCTTAAGTTGTCCAGGAGAGCATGGACAATTATAAATGTTTAGAGAAGTGTACTTTTCAATAAGATTAACCAAAAAGAGATGTCAAGTTGTTTTCATTCATAATTTAAGAGGAGTTCTAAGAAAGTTGTAAAAAACAGGTTCTTCAAGTAAAATTCATGTCATGGGCCTTTTAATGCCCCATATATTTTTACCTTCTCTGAGTATCTTCAAGGTTTTCTTTTCAATGGAGTCTCTAAACCACATTTAAGATTACAGGTATAATGCAGTGAATCCTTTTGAAGTTAAAATTCTCTGTCAATTTGAAGGATGTTGTGGATCCCTTTCATCAATTGACTCCCAACGTTTCTTTCCCATTATCTGTCTAAAGCTGAAATTTTTAAAATTTGAATTTTGCAACTCCATGAACACAATTACAATATACATTTTGTTTAATATTAAAAAAAAATCAAGTTGATATTATTGACAGTTAGTCTAAATAAGACATTTTCCCCCTAATATCGCTTGAGAATACACAAGGGGACAGAAACAATAGAGCCTAGCCTGTCAGTGTTATCACGCATTCACAACTCACTGTAATCTGCGTATCCCATGAGTCATCTCACCAGTATTTTTTGGTCAATGAGGATTTAAACGATGCTATTTCTGTTACCAGAGAGCTGAGAGTAATAGGAGTTTCACAGTGCGTGATAACGGAGGAATTATGTTTCCGGCTGCAGAAATGTTGCGATGTGTTGTCAACAAACCTTGCTTTCAACAGAAAATGTGAAAGAATTTCACTGGCGATGCCCTTGACTTTTTTTCAGCCAAGATATGGTGCATTTTTGTCAGTATTTCTGGCTAATATCAGCCATTTCATCATTTCTTTGAATAATAACTACTTTCTAATTTACCCTGTCAGCTGAAAAACATGTTAATTTCATTTTTTGTCTACATCTTCAGATTGTAGAGTGTGGAACTTTTAAATTGATGCATTGTTGATCAGCATCCATCATACATTTAGCATGTTCATCCATCTTCTACAAAGTTCCTTTAGAACTTAAAGCAGGACAGTTCTTATCAGAACTAAAACTTCTTAGTGAAAATTGATAATAAGCAGGACAAGTTCCTTTCAGAACTAAATATCTACTGACTAGTAATTACCACATGGTGTTACCGCAAACCAAAACAATTTTTCATACAAATTTGTTTTTTATTTTACAACATTGTGTTTCAAATTCAAAAACAGTCACAATCGCGTGATGAAAAAGTTTCAAGGCATATTCAATTTTTTTTTAATATACATTGGCATTTATACTACTTGAAGAAGATGTGCAGTGTAATATTCCTAGACGTAAGATTTGTCTCAGCCGAGGTATGAAATGTGGCAAACCCAGGAAAACTGTGCTGTGCCTTTGTTGATGAGAAGGTTGATGCTCAAGAAAATAATCTTTTTAACAGTACTTATTAGGACATTTACTTAAAGCGATTGCCCAAAGTCTCAATTCACAGGATACTGTCTGATAAACATAACTACATAAATGTACATGTATGATATCATTAGCAGTGCAGAACTGCAGGTACATTGCACATGTGATGTGTTGATTAGAATGTTATCTCTAACATTCTAAACTGTCCAGTACCACATTTGCATGTGCAAACTCAAATGTTTACCGTTTGGCTTGAGGTGTTTTCTGCTTCTCTATTCAGTATCAGAACATCAAACTGATAACATTTGAAGGTTAGGTTTTTCTGTATGCCTCTCATCAACTGCCCAAAATCTTGATTCAACATGGTGTGTTAACTTAGAGAGGGCCAAGTCAATATTGGGAAGTGGGGGAAGGTAAATAAAGGGAGACCAGTAGTTTACCTAGAAGTATGCTTTATACCACAGATGGGAAGTTCTTGTTAAAACAGTTATTTGCATCCTCTGCTACACATTGTTTAGCTTTCTCAGCAAGTTCTATTATTCATGGATTTACAATGGGGGAACAAAATGGTATGTGGTATTCACTAATTCAATTCTTTCTCATCAAGGTCTGAGTATTGCTGAAAGCCTTGAACATTCATCACATTTTGTTTGTGAAGTTCCAACTGGTAGCGTCAGATTTAATCGCAAGGACACATGTTGCTGAAACCTTGAACA